ACCCCCCCACCTGCAGATTTCAGGCTTTTTTGGACATTCTCTGTCCTTTAACTAGTGGCTGGGGTTGGGGGATGTTCAAGGCAGATTTTCTTTGTGTAGCCCTGGCTGTACTGGAACTTGCTATGTAGATCAGGTTAGCCTCCAGCTCACAGAGATCCATTTGCCTCTGCCTCTCCTTGTGCTGGGAGTAAAGATGTGTGCCAATACCTAGCCAATAAATGTAATAAAAAAAAAAAAGAAAAAAAAAACCCTAGAAATAGGTCCTAGTGGTCCAGGTACATTATGACAGGTACTCATACAGCTGAGACAGGAGACAGTAGAGTCAAAAAGCTGGGCTGGAGTGTAAGTTCAAATCTAGCCTGGGAAGCTTAGTGAGATTCTCTAATATAAAACATAAGAGGTATGAGAATGTAACTCAGAGTTGGAGAACTTCCTAGAATCCCTCAGTGAGGGGCTGGGGTGTGGCCCAGTGGTAGAGCACCTGCCTAGAATCCCTCAGTGAGGGGCTGGGGTGTGGCCCAGTGGTAGAGCACCTGCCTAGAATCCCTCAGTGAGGGGCTGGGGTGTGGCCCAGTGGTAGAGCACCTGCCCAGAATCCCCCAGTGAGGGGCTGGGGACATGTTGACTGAGGACTGGTTACATGGAAGCTAATAATCCTGTGGTTTCTTCAGTGAAGTGTTAGGTACACTCCTGTATTCCCAGTGGCCAGAAAGTGGAGTCAAGAGGGTCAAAAGTTCCAGCCAGGCTAGGCAAAAGAATGAGACCCTATCTCAAACAAATGTTGTTTCAAATTCCCCTTCCTTCCCTTTTCCACTCCCTCCTTCCTTCTTTCTATATTTTTGGTAGGGTCTTCCTGTGTAACCTATGCTGGCCTGGAATTAGGTGTATTGTCCAAACTGACCTCAAACTCAGGATCCTCCTGCCTCAGCCTCTTAAATTCTGGGATTGCAGGCAAAAGCAACTACACCAGCATACTTATAAAATGTGGCCGGTAGGTGGCAGTGGTTAGCTACTTCTGGCATCACCATGGCTTGTTCTCACGCTTTACAGGTCTCATTCTGTAGCCCAAGCTGCCCTTGAACTCACAATCCTCCTGCCTCAGCTTCCTGATTACTAGGATCATGGATGTGCACTACCATGCTTGACTGGTTTTGGCTTTTCTTAAAAGAGCTTCAGGCTTTGGTAACAGACAAGGAAGATGTCAAGTGTGGAACTTTCCCAGAGCTAAGTGCACACTGGGCAGCTGGCCACATATTCCTCAGATGAGGGGAGGTGCACAAGTAGAGGCAGCACAGAGCTTGGAATGAGCTAACCTGGAGCCCAGTGTTAGAATCACTCTGTATACTTAACATCTATGACCCTCAACATTCTCATCTGTGAAATGGGTATTTAACCCTCCTCCACCTCAGTCACCTAGCAGATCAAAGGAAATGAAGTTGTAACGGATCTATCTCAGTGTGTTTTCTGTTTACAGAAATGGAAATGGCAAAGGCAAAGTTTATTTCTCACAGGTCTGCAGGCTGGGAAGCCTACTATAATACTGTCAGGGCTCTGATGAGGGTCTTCATGATCCATTTTACAACAGGGCACATGGCAGCACTCTGAGAAGCAGAGTGAGCATGCTAGCTCAAATCTCTTTTCTCTTCTCTGGAAGCCACTAATGTCACAATGGGAAGTCCAGCCTTATGACTTCATCTACCCTCGATTACTTCCTGCATTTGCAATTTTTTTTATCTTGCTGTAGCAAAATGCCTGACAAAAGCAAATTACAGGAGTGAATTAGTCAGGGTTCTCTGGAGGAGCCGAACTGAAAGAATGAATGTACATATACATGTACATCATATACATATACATCATATAATATACATATTAATCATACACACACATATACATACACACATTGTGTGTATGTATGTATGTGGGATTTATTAGAGTAGCTTACTCCCCTAGAATTCATCAGTAGCCAAGTTTATCATGGAGGGATAGGACCTCCCCATAAACTCTCCTCCAACCGTGACTATTGACAAGTCCAGCCATATGCAGACCCAGATTTTTGCTGTTATTTGTGCATGTGCATGAAAGAGAGGAGAGGGAAGAAAGAGAGAGAGAGAGATCACTGTAATTCTGTCTGGTCTGGAACTCACTATGTAGACCAGGCTGGCCTTGAACTAACAGATACACCAGCCTCTGCCTCCTGAGTGCTGAGATTAAAGGTATGAGCCACCATACCTAGCTTTGTTTTTGTTCTTTAAGAAAGTGTCTTACTATGTAGCCCAAGATGGTCTTGGAACCCCTACTGTGCCTTGGCTTCCAGTGTTGGGTTACAGGTATGCCATACGTCACTATTGTTCAGGGGCCATCCTATAAGGAGTGTATGTGTATGTGTGTGTGTGTGTGTGTGTGTGTGTGTGTGTGTGTATGACATTCTGTCCATCTCCGCCTTATTTTTGTCCGAGACAGGGTCTCCACTCAACATAGAGCTTGCTGAGTTAGCCAGATTGCCTCACCAGAAATCCCCAAAGCCCTGCCTGTTTCCACGTCCTCAGGGTAATGATTGCAGACATGCACTGCTGCCTCAGCATTTTATGTGCATGCTGGGGACCCCTGTAATCCCAGCATTATGGAAGATAGACACAGGAAGGTCACTAGGACTTGCTGGCTCCAGCCTAGCTCAATGAGAGACCCTGTCTGAGAAGAATAAGATGGGGAGTGATGGCGCAGGAAACCCAACATCCCTCTGTGGCCTCTGCTTGTGTGTGCACACGTGAGCACACAGACACACACCAAAAAATAAACAAAAACAGGCTGGAGGCATCAGTGACGAAATGATTACTTAGCTTCCATGAAAGGTTCCACCTCCATGGCCAGATGAGCTAGGTGTGGTGGCATATACCTGTCATCCCAGGACTGGGGAAGTAGAGGCAGGAAAATTTTACAAGTTGGAGTCCTGCCTAGTTTACACAGTGAATTCTAAGTCAGCCAGGGCTAAATAGTGAGACATTATTTCAAAAGACACCCGAAAAACAAAACAAAGAAAGCTATAGAAAACTGCTTCTCCATGGAAGACACAATTGTTTCATAGCACACAGACAGTAGAAACCAAGCATGCAGAAGTAGGAACTACCTCGTTCAAGCCCCCGGGTTTGCTGCTGGGCTTTGCTGGTTGAAATGGATGAGGCAGCAACACATCACATCCTGGGAAGGCAGCTGCTGAGCCAGCCCAAAGGGCCTCCTCGCCATCAGTCTCCACTCTAATGCACTGGATAGATGCTTACTACACCCAAGGGAGCCTTAATGGACTCCTCAGCCTGGTCTCCGCTGAAATAATGGATTCCTAATGGAGGAGACAACGTCGCTACCAAATGAAGCAGGGAGGTAGAGGCAGAAAGAAAGAATTTTTCATTGCTCTAGGGAACTAGCCGCATTCAGCACATCCTTGGGTTTGGGACAGAAGCAGGGTCTCACATAGCCGAGTCTCAAATTCACTATGTAGCTGAGGATGACCTTGAACTTCTTTTCTATTTAAGTCTTTTATTTATTTATGTATATGATTGTTTTACTTTCGTGATCTATATATGTTTCCACATGAATGCCTGGTGCCAGCAGAGGTCAAAAGAGGGCATCAGATCTCCTGGAGCTGGAGTTACAGGTGGTTGAGAGCTACCATGTGGGGTCTGAGAGGTCCTTGCAAGAGCAAGCACTCTTGATTGCTAAACCGGCTCTCCAGCCCCTGTGACCTTGAGCTCTTAATCCTCCTGCCTCTGCCTCCTTAGGTGCACCAGTCACCACATCCATTGTATCCAATTTTGAGGATGGAACAGGGCTTTCTGCATGCTGGCAAACCAGTCTACCAGGAGAGCCATCCTCAAGCATATGTGTTTGGCTGGATTTGGGTTTGGGCTTTTGACACTGGGTCTAGTGTGGCCCAGACTGGCTTTGAACTGATGGTGTAACCTTTACTTCCCATAACTTGTTTGTTTATTACTTCTTTTCTTTTCTTGTCTCATGTCCCTATTGATTTCTTCTGGATCAATTTCAAAATATATTATATGTAAGTTCTTATCTCAAAACCTGTTTCCACGAAACTCAAGTGTCCCAGATAAGAACTAAGATCTTGGTGAATAAGTACTTCCTTAAGGCCTAGTGAGAGTAGCCATTATTCATTGCTAGTAAGGGATGCCGAAGAAAACACAAATAGAAAGGTGTCCCAGGTTCATGGTTCAGGGATCTGGTAGTATTAGTGTTCACACTCTTTGGTTTTTGCTGATTCATTTTTATTGCTATTGTTTCTGTGCTCATGTAATTCCAGGTGGGCAAGGTGGCCTGCCTAGGATTCTAAGCATTGAAAGTGGATATAGGGGATCCCCTGAGCAAGCCATATTGGTAAGCTCTGGGTTTGACCCTGTGTGTGTGGTATGCAGGCATTTGTGCCCCTCTCTCTGTCTCTGTCTCTCTCTGTGTGTCTGTGTGTGTGTGTGTGTGTTTGTGTGTGTGCACAGATATTTGTGCCTGCATGTGTGTGTGCCCTGAGTATTTGTGCCTGTGTGTGCACATCTGGGGGACAAAAATTTGTGTTCCTATTTTATTCTCTATAACAACATCATCATCTTGAGACAGTGTCTCATTTTGTAGTCCTGGAACTCACTATATAAACCAGATTGCTCTCAAATTAAAAAAGATCTGCCTATCTCTGTCTTCTGGGTGCCAGCATTAAAGGTGTATGCCACTATGCCTAGCCAGTCAAAATTTTTAATTGTGAAAACAGAGGTCAACTTTCAGGAGTTTGTTCCCTTTTCCCACCATGTGGCTTCCCAGGGATTGAACCCAGGTTATCAGTCTTGGTGGCAAGTGCCTTTACCCACTGAATCATCTTGCCAGTCCTGGTGAAATCAAAGCTTTATTTTGAAAATCTCCAATGGAAACCGTTCTCTCCTTCTACCGGAACTATGAACCTTCTAAAGGAATTCAACAGACTCCATGAGGACAAAGGAGCCACGAGCTCAGTTCAAGGATCCTTGAGCTAAAACTCCAGCATGCTTCTGGGCTTTCAACCTAGAAATGTATCTCTGTACCCACTTGGCCTGTGGTTGGACACAGATTTTCTTACCTCTTTTTGTAGTCAATCTGTAGGGAAGAGATAAGAAGTGAATGTTGACACTCTTGGCATATGAAGCTATGGGAGAAGAGGGTGACTTAGTGTGGCCAGTGTTCTCCCCTATCCAACACAACAGCCACACTCTGTTTCTGTCCAATCTCCTGCTGGTCCTGCTTCTCCTTCCCATTTTCCCTGGGATCCACACACTCTCAGGCTCTCAGACCCCAGGAATCATGCCTCAGAAGGTCTAGTTGCCAGACACTAATCTATATTGTGACCCTACCTTTCCTTTCTTTATAACAGCATTATTGAGACATAGTTCACACACCCTATGGAGCACACATTTGACATGATTAGGGATGATGATATTATAGCTCAGCTGTAGAACACCTACCTAGAATCCCCCAGTGAGGGGCTGGGAGTGTGTCTCAGTGGTAGAGCACCTGCCTAGAATCCCCCAGAGAGAGACTGGGAGTGTGGCTGTCTATGCTAGAGCTCCTGCCTAGAATCCTTTAATAAGGGGCTTTGGTGGAGGTTGGCTCAGTGGTAGTACATTTGTCTAACATGTAGAAATCCCTAGTTTCAATCCCCAGTAAGGTAAATAAATAAAAACTTAAAAGGTAAGTACCTGTTGGTTAATAGACCAGTATATTCATAGACTAGAAAACTATCACCCAACAATTTTAATCTTTCATGTGTGTGCATGTGTGTACATGTGTTCATGTGTGTGTGTGTGTGTGTGTGTGTGTGTGTGTGTTCTGAAAGTATAATCCAGAGCTTCATAATAGTAAATAAATGCTCTACCACTGAGTTACACCACAGCTCCGCACAATGAATTTCAGAGGACAGAAAGGAACCACATACAAGTATGCTACTTTATTTTTTTATACTTTTAAATTAAATTGTATTTATTATTGTGAAAGAGGAGACACTTGCTATAGTGCATATTTGGAGCTCAGAGGACCATTTGCAGGGAGTCATCTTTCTGTCTCCATCACGCAGAACCAGGAGAGCAGATTCAAATGGTTGGGTTTGGTTGCCAAGAACTTTTATCTAATGAACCATCTCACCAAATTCATAATTTTTTAAGACAAGGTCTTACTATGTAACCCCTGTTGGGGACCATCAGCATCCTCACTACCTCAGGCCTCTGAGACAGAAAATTACTGCCTCTTAAGAAATAAGCAAAATGTTCAGCAGAGCAGTCCTACAGGCTTGCGGTTTTACAACCAGTTAAAGAATAGCTCAGGATATTCCTCCTGTTGTAGTTTTGCAACCAGTTAAAGAATAGCTCAGGATATTCCTCCTGCTACAGTTTTACAGCCAGTTAAAGAATAGCTCAGGATATTCCTCCTGCTACAGTTTTACAGCCAGTTAAAGATTAGTTCAGGGCGTTCCTTCTACTGACCCTTTCACCCTGCCCACTTGCAAACCCTGCTCACATCCTCCCCATGGTCCTATATAAGCCACCCCTGAGAAAATAAAGTTTGACAGCTTGATCAGAACATGGACTTTCTGTCGTTCTTCTTATCCCTTGCCCTTCGATTCCCCTAGGGATTTCCCAGTTTGTCATTGACTGCCCCATGGGTCGGGGCAGAATAGGCGCCCAGCGTCAGATGGCAGAGGACATCTAGGTCTCAAGTTCATGATCCTTCTGCTTCAGACTCCTGAGTTCTGGGATTACAAATTTACACTAACATGATCACCTCTTGCTTTTATACCCAGCTCTTAGAGCATGGCTTGCTACGTGGTATGAAAGTCAGCATCTAACTATCTCAGAGTCACCTGTATTTCTGCAAAGAGAGGGCCCTTACCTAGCTTGGTGGTCAGTTTTAATTGTAAACTTAAAATCTAGACTTGCCTAGGAAGGAAGTCTCTTCCTAGGAAGTGGAAGACTATCTTGGATGTATTAATCAAAGTGAGGAGACTTTCCCACTGTGGGTGGCAACATTCTTTAGGCAGGGACTCTGAACTGTGTTAAGAGTAGAGAAATCAAGCTGAGCTCTGTCGGATATGCATTAAGTCATTGTTCTCTGCTCTTGAATGTGAATATAATTATGACTAGCTGCTTCAAGATCTTGCTACCTTGTCTTCCCATCAATGATGGATTGTATCTTAGTTTCAGTTGTCAAAGTAGTCCTAGCTTGGAATAATCTGAAAAAATTCAGTTAAAGAATTGCTTCAGTAAGATTGGTCTGTGGCCACATCTGTAAAATATTGTCTTCATTGATGATTGATGTGGGAGAACCCAGCCAACTATGGGTGGTGACATTCCCTAGGCAGCACCATTGCTAGGCAGGTGAGCCTGAACTATATTAGAAAACTGGCAAAGACCATGAGCCACAGAGCAAACCCAGTGAGCAGCATTCTTCCATGTTCTCTTCTTCCCTTCCTGCCTCGAGGGAGTGTGGCTTGAAATAAACCGTCTCTTCCATAAGTTGCTTTTGGCCATGATATTTATCATGGTGACAGAAAGCCAACTAGAACAGACTGTAACCTGGAATCTCTTCCTTACATTGCTTTTACTGGGGTATTTTATCTCAGAGGCAAGACAAAACTGAGATACTCCCAGATTCCCATCCCAATGTCCAGTTTGTCACTGGACATCTACCCAGTCCATGCCCACTGATGTGGATGATGTAACAGGACTTAACACTCACATCACAAACTCATGGGAACAGCTGGTTTTGGCGAGCTCGTAGGTGTACACCCAGTCCCACGGGATTATCATGTGGTGGTAAGAGAGGCAGCAAGGCCTAGACATCTCACTCTCACCTAAAAAAATACAAAGAAGAATGACCTTGAAGTACTCCTTTCAGTGGAGGTGCTTCAGTGGGGAAGGGAAGAGGGTCCAGCTGTGTACGTACATGTGGCAGCTCCAAGGTGGACACTGAGGAAGAGGGTCAGGAGAACAATGGGGCTCAAAGAGAAGGTCTTCATGGTCCACTGACCTGGGCTCTTCATAGATGTCTCCTGAATTCCTCTTGTCTCGTCTTCCATGAGGCCGTGTAACACCTGAAGAACATTCCAGAGGATTTTGTGGTTGAAAACAAAGTAGTCGGGGTGGGGAGGCCAGAAGAGAGCATTGGATCCTCAGGAATTAGAGTTACAGATGGTTATAAGCCACCCTGTACAGGTCCTGAAAACTGAATTCAGATCCTCTAGAAGACAGTAAATGCTCTTAACTGCAGAGCCTTCTTTCCAGCCCCTCACTTGGGTTTTTTGTTTTGTTTGTTGGGTTCTTTTTTGTTGGTTGTTTTCTTGAGAAGGATTTGTGTGTGTGTGTGTGTGTGTGTGTGTGTGTGTGTGTGTGTGTGTGTGTGTGTGCTACTGCACTAGCTGTTCTGGAACTCTCTTTGTAGACCAGCCTGGCCTTGAAATCATAGAGATCCATCCCCCTGCCTCTGCCTCCCATGTGTTGGGATTAAAGGTGTGCACCATGCCTGACTCCCTCACCTTGTTTTTTAAAACAAGGCATATCACTGGGGGCTTGAAGCTTGTCAATTAAGCTAAGCTGGCTGGCCAGTGAGCCCCAAGGATGCATTACTCTCCACCTCCCTAGTGTTGGGGTTACAAAGGCATGCCACCAAGGCTGGCTGTTTTGAAAACATGAGTTCTGGGGATCTCATGTCTTATGCTCTCGTGTTCTCGAGGCAAGTGTTTTACTGACTGAGCCATCACCTCAGCCCCAAAGTAACTTTTTGGAGAACAATTTGCTTCCTAAGAGAAGGAAATAAAGACAACTCACAAATGTGTCCCAAGAGGCAGAGGGCAGCACTGTGTCTCTACTTATCAGGTGAATCAACACTTTCTTATTTGAAAATGAAGTAATATTCTAGAGCTAGGACCTGAATGACCTCACAGCAGAAATACTTGTTCACACAGGATGCTGGACTGATGAGCAAAATGTTGCTATCCTTGTTCACTTTGGGTGGCTCAGGAACATCTGTAACTCCAGCTTCAGAAGATCCAGAACTCTCTTCTGATCTCCACAGGCACCTGTGCTCCCAAGTACATACCACCTCCTCACACACATGTACAGAGTTACAAATATTCAAAATAATCCTTTAATTTTTTTAAAGAGTTAAGTGATATATAATGTCCCATCTCAAAATATATTTGGGAGGGAGGGAGGGGGAACTGGGATTGACATGTAAAATAATAAATTAAATAAAAAAATTAAATTAAAAAATATATATTTGGTAATGAACACCTATAATTCCAGTCTTCGGGATGCTAAGGCAGGAGTATCACAAGTTTGAGGCCAGTCTGAGCTACATCGATAGACTTTATCAAAATAAATAAATAAATAAGCCGAGAAAGTGTGCAAGTGTGAAGCCTTGGATTCAGTTCCCAGAACACAAAACAATGCTTCTCTCCTTTTGAAGAACTCCCTCTCAGAACCTGAGAGAGTGATGAACTCTGAGGGAATGGTTTAACCCAGTATAGAAACAAACAATTCAAAAATACTTTCTAATCTATACATTTTTTATATATTTTCCATTATTTTTATGCTGCTTGTATGCATATGTCTGTGTATCACATGTATGCAGTGCCCATTGAAGCCAGAAGAAGTTGATAGATACCCTAGGGCTGGAATTATAGGCTATTGTGAGCTGCCCTGAGGGTGCTGGGAATCCTAGGCGGGTACTCTGAGGCTGAGCCCCCCTCCTCAGTCTGTCACAGAGGATTCTAGATAAGCATTCTACCACTGAACCATACCCCTGCTTTTGGTTTAAAAAATAATTTACTTATTTATGTGTGTGTTGTTGTGTGGGTGTGGGTGGGTGCCAGAGAGAGAGAGAGGGAGAGAGAGAGAGCTTGCATGCTGCTCTGGAATGCATAGGAATGCATTTGTGGGGTCAGAGAACAAACTTGCAGAGTCAGTTCTCTCCTTCCACCACGAGAGTCCAGGGAATTGAACTTGCATCATCAGGCCTGACTGCAAGCACCTTTGCCTGCTGAGCCATCTTGCCAGCATGGCCTTTGAGTTTTTGAGACAAGATCTCATAGCCTTCCAGGCTGACTTTAAACTGCACTTTCCTTCCCCCACCCGAGTACTAGGGTTACATATGGGCCATCGTTTTACTATGGTTCTGTCTATGACTGTCCTCCTCCTATAGTTAGTGGTCATTGTAATTCCTTTATGAATCAGAACCCTTCAATGGCTTCTGCTGGAATCTGCCTTCTCAGCACTCATGCACAACGCTCTGCCTGAGTCCCGAACACAACCTATCATTTCAGCCCTCTGGGTCCTGTGCTGTTCCCAGCGTCCCCTCCCCTACGGTTAAATTCCCTGCTTCATACCCTCCAGGTTGCTGACTGGGATCTGGCTACATTTGTACAGATGTCCCAGAACCCTCCATCTGGGATGTTTCCCAAGGTGTGGTCAGCCATTTGAGCTTCTGCTGCCATGGATACCCTTCTAAAATTCTTCTGTTGTCATGGTCACAGGGATGAAACAGACTGTCTCACTAGTCCAGGCTTCCTTATGTCCCTTACGGTGTAGACTGGTGTGTTCCCATCTCCCAAATTCTTATGTTGAAGCTCTAACACCTCAATGTGTCTTTGTTTGTAAACAAGAACTTTAAAGATTCATTTTATTTTTTTGAGACAGGGTTTCATTCTGTAGCCCTGGCTAGCCTGGTACTTACTATGGAGACTAAGTTGGCCTCAAACTCACAGAGCTCTATTTACCTCCTCTGTCTCCCCAGTACTGGGACTAAAGGTGTGCCCCACCGTGCCTATTTTTATGTTTATTTTATTTTAAATTATGTGTATGTGTACCTCTGTGTTTGTGCACATGAGTGTAGTTGCCTGTGATGGTTAGAAGAGGGAGTCAGGTCCCGCTGGAGTTATCGGAAGTTGTAAGTCTCCTGAGGTGGGTTCTGAGAACTGAACTTGGGTCCTCTGGAAGAGTGTTAGGTTCTTAACCACATCTTGGGATATCAAAATCAAAGACAGAGAAGAGGTCTGGAAGGCCCACTCTCCATTAACCTTCTTCCAGTTAGGCCCTACCTCCAAAAGGCTTACCAGTCTCCCTAAAACACCACTAGCCAGGTACCCTGTGTTCAAACACATTGGTCTGGGGGTGGGGAGGGCGCATCTCACTTTCAAAGCATACCACCGAGGAAAGGGCAGCACAGTCCACATGCTGGCTTTCACTACTTAGCCCAGGCTGGACTTGAACTCAAGATGCTCTTACCTCAGCCTTTTATGTGTTACCAGACAGACTTTGGGGACTGCAGAAATGGCTCAGCAATTAAGAGTGCTTGGTGTTCTTGTGGAGAGACCTGAGTTTGGCTCCCTCGTGAGGGTGGCTCACAATTGCCTTTAATACCAGTTTCAGGGGTCTGATGTCTCCTTTGGCTTCTGTAGGCACTGACACACACACATGCATACACTCACAGACATACATATACACATAAAACAATTAAGAAATTATAATGACAGACCTTGTTTGTTTCTTTCAAGGTACTGCACGATTCTATGAGGAAGATTGCTATTTTGAAAACACATTTTATTATTTTGTGTGTATGGGTGTTTGCCTGTGTATGCCTTGTGCCCTCAGAGGCCTAAGAGGGCATTGGATCCCCTGGAATGGAGTTACAGATGGTTGTGAGTGGCCATGTAGGTGATGGGAATCCAACCTAGGTCCTTTGCAAGGGCAGCCAGTGCTCTTAACTGCTGAGGCATCACTCCAGACCAAGCTTGTTACTTTTTATCCTTCTTGGCTGCCTGAGAAAATGGAGATCCAGAGAGAAGAACTGATTTATCCGAGGTCAGAGCTAGGGCTAAATGTGTCATCTGTCTTCTGTCTCGCCTCCGGGACAACCCTTTTACCCTGAGAACAAACCTCCAACTCCATTTCCCCCAGGCTGTATCCACAATGGCCCTGTAGGTAAGTGAGGGCACCAGAGCAATGGATAAATCACAGTCCGGTTGATAAGGAGACAGCTGAAGACCAGAAAACCACATCCAAACTTTCAAGAGCCCAAAAGGGGAAACACGAGTCTAGAGATTGCAACATCCACAGCACAGAAGCGTATTGCTAGTTCCCTAGGAGACATGCCACTGTTTTCACCAGATCACTCCTATTCTGAGACACGAGTCCCCTGGTAAATATGGCAGTCTGGAAACTCCCATGGATATGTAAGTGTGTTCCACTGGTCTTGAGATTACTTAGGAGTTAGGGCTCAGGATGATGAGGTTCAGCTGTAAAAAGTTTGCCTAGTGTCTTAGTTGGAGTTTCTATTGCTGTGATAAAACACCATAACCAAAGGCAAGTTGGGGAGGAAAAGGTTTATTTTGGCTTACACTTCCATATCATTGTTCATCATCGAAGGTAGCCAGGTCAGGAACTCAGACAGGGCAGGAACCTGGAGGCAGGAGCTGATACAGAGGCCATGGAGGGGTGCTGCTTACTGACTTGCTCATCGTGACTTGTTCAGACTATTTTCTTTCTTTTAAAAAATGTATTATCTGGGTGTGGAAGCACATGCCTTTAATCCCAGCACTTGGGAGGCTGAGGCAGGCAGATCTCTGTGAGTTAGAGGTCAGCCTAGTCTACAAAGTGTGTTCTGGGACAGTCAGGTCTGTTACACAGAGAAACCCTGACTCAAAAAACAAACAAACATTTATTTATTTTATTTTTTCTGCAAATTGTTGTTTTGCTTGCATGTATATCTACGTGAGGGTGTCAAATCCCTTGGAACTGAAGTTAGACAGTTGTGGGCTGCCATGCAGGTGCTGGGAAACAAACTTGGGTCTTCTGCAAGGGCAGCCAATGCTCTTAACCACTGACCCATCTCTCCAGCCCTCTGAGCTTGCTTTCTTATAGAATGCAGGACCACCAGTTCAGGAATGGTCCTACCCACAGTGGAATATGTATGCCAACCCTAATTTTGTTTACTTATTTTAGCATTTATTTCTTATTTTATTTACCTGTATTATGCATGCATATATGTGTGCACCCATTTCTGAG